CTCCCGCAGATCTGCCTGATTTTCGTCAGTTTCCGACAATTTGCAACCCGTGCTTGTCCGCGTTTGTCGTGCCACAAATTGTCGGAAACGGACTCTGACGTATGTGGAGAGCGATCAGCTGTACTAATGGCCCTAATTAGCATATGAATGCAGCAAACCCGCGCGGCTGGCCAGGTCTGGCTTGAATAAACTTCTCAGTATTGGCTGAAACCACTATTCTCAAACAAGTGAAATCGCTCGTGATTGGCAGCAAAACCACACGTGGCCACGCCAGGCTTTAATTTTCTTACTGAGTATTGGACGGAACCACTTCTTTTTAAACAAGTAAAGTCGCTCGTGATTGGTTGGCATATATATATATATATTTACATATATATATTTATTCATTCATATATATATATATATATATATATATATATATTCATATATTTATTCATTCATATATTTGTTCATTCATATGCTGTGTATTTATGTTATCCTACACTACTACACAATTATTATGCTACCATCAAGGACATGAATGAATTTATACAGGAAATGAAGATTTGCCAGGAAGCTGTTTATGCAAAGAAAGAGCTTTATTAAAACACACACAACTATATACAACGCGTATCCAAACACATGCGTATCTAAAAATTACAACTCCGTGAACGGTCCGTTTGCTTCCTCGGGGTTGGAGGTAACTGGCAGCATTCCCTCCGAGGCAGGTCCGATGTGCAGACGCATACTGTGCGTGGCCCTGTACTTCGGCATCGCTTCTAACCGGGACTGCAGCTTAACACAGAGTTCAGTGAGATCCGGCCTACGAAATGGCGGCGACCGTACAATCCATCCAGAGACACCGCCGACGACGCCATCTTCTTCGTCGGACATGAGGTCGACGGTGGCGGACTTCCAGAGTTCCACTTCCTCATCTGCCAGCACACTCTGCCTCGCCTTCAGCAGCTGAAAAAAAAACAATGAATCAGCGCACTGCGTATGGACACAACACATCTATCAATGCACCTGAAAAATAGTCACCAAATAAAGTCTTACCCTCTTTCTTCTGGCCCGACTCCGAGCAGATAGCCTGGCAGCCTCCGCACGCAGCGTGCTGGCTAGCAGCGTGTATCTGAAGCTCCTGCATACCGTCTCATAATACGTCTTACAGGCAGCTGGAAAACAATTAAATGAGAGTGGTATGAATAAAAAAAAATAAAAAATAATCAAACGCAAGTCACAGTAACAAGGAAGGAGAAAACATTAAAACGAGTCACTTCCACACAATGTCGTCTTTATCAACATCGTGCAAATCCGAGCAAATAGGAGGTCACCGCCTCATTGTGAGGCGACTGTAGTCTGTGAAAAAAAAAAAAAAAGTACAGCTATGGTCGGTATCCATCCGTATCCATGTCCTTTTACCGCAGAATGAAAGCATATTCTTTAAACCTTACCCCTGCTCCGGTTCATAGCGCCTGCAATTAGTCTCCGAGTTGTTAAGACGGCATATTGCTTCCTGTGAATCACAAAAAATACACTTTAATAAAGCTTTAGGCTAGGCTGCTTTTAGCTTACCTAGCTAGGCTAGGTTGTCTTTAGCTTGCCTAGCTAAGCTAGGCTGCTTTTAGCATAGCTACCAGTAATCGAACATATATTTACCGCTAGCGTGGCGTTGTGCACCCGTCTTCTCTTCCTCGAGTTCGTAGCATCGAATTCTCCAGCTGAGTGAGGCGCTCATTCATGTCGGCAGTATGTTGGGCAAGCTGACGAGACAGTCCGCTGATAGCAATCAGCAGTTTCTTCTCGTCAGTCTGCGGGCTGGCCGAAAGTTGTGGACTAAGAGCAGTTGGAGGCGAGTTGAACGCGAGACGTCGTGCAGCCATTGTTCACGTAACAACAAAATACAAACACGGTAAATGGAGATGAAGTTCACAACACAAACATGTCTGCTAATATGCTGGTCTCGCGAGAAGTCGTAGTGCACAAAAGCTCACACGTGATTGGACGATGGGGCCGAAGGCTCATCAGGCTCCTCCAATCACATACGACGTCATTGTTATACGGAAGGACTCGCGAGAAGAGCTCGCGTCGCTCCATTCTGGAAGGTGGCGGTAATGCACCTATAAATTGTTTGCAATTGAAATTGTTTGTCTCCATAAGATTGAATTTGAGCAGGTGGACATTAGAGATAATAAATGCAACAACAAGTTTTTGAATCAATATTCTATAAATAATATGTACCCAGGAAGAACAAAAAGCACAGCTCTCTTACAAACTTTTAAGAAATCTATGATAGTCAAAATTAGGACAAATTATTTGAAATTCCCAATTCCTCCTAAATATAAAGAATTACAGTTTAAAATAATAAATAACATATATCCTTCAAATGAGTTTTTAAGAGAGAGATTTAAGGTTAATGTTGAGAATTGTGGCTTTTGTACAACTCAATTGGAAACAACTAAACATCTTTTTTATGAATGTAAAGAAGTATTAAACTTATGGGATCAACTTCGAACCTTTCTGTCTTCTAAAACAATAAATTTAGATTTTATTTCCTGGCAAAACATTCAATTCGGTTTATCCATTAAAGAAAAAAAATTTGGAATTTTTAATCAATATTCTAATAATTGTAACAAAGTATTATATCCATAAATGTCGCTATGCAAAATGCTCCCTCTCAATCTCTGCTCTCAAAAAGGAACTTTCCCTTTTCAAAAGATGTCTGAGAAAGATGCAGAATTTAAATGCAATTAAATTGTTTGAGTTAATTGAAGAATTTCAGTTGGTAGTCCCCACTGATTAATTTACTTTAACTACTATTATTATTTTATTTATTTTTATTTATTTTATTTTATTTTATACTTTGTTCCAGCCTGTGCATTTAATTTTATTTTTCAAAAGCAGGAGTTGTGATATTTCTTCTTGTATTGAAATATTTGTTATTGACTTGTTATTTGAGATTGTTATTGTTTTCTTATATATTCAATAACAAAAAAAAAAAAAAGTGGAAATCTAAAAAAAAAAATTAACCATTACAGCCAACTGATTCTGATTAAAACTAATTTTTGAAGTAAATTATTTTGTGTAATTTTTTTACATAACATTTGCATACACAGTAATCTAGCGTACTTTAATTAAATAAATCAATTCAAGCTAAGATGTAAGAGTCTATAATTAGGCTATACTGAGCCTGATCTATTTCTACCATCTATTTGGGGGATATTTATTGCCACACTTTGGGCCACTTAAAACCAATTTAGCATGCTGACCTATGTCCTTATGACCACAGTGTACCAATCTTCTGATGGCTACTTCCAACAGGATAATGCGCCATGTTATAAAGTGAATCATCTCAGAATCATTTCTTGAAACTTTTCCACTTAAGTAATTGTGAATTGAGCATATTGACAGACAACATTTTATTTTTTATCTTAAATGCAAATTTAAAAAAAAATAATTACTGCTCTAAATGTATTGCTCTGTCAGCTAAATATCTGTTTTGGTCTCTATACTTTAATTAAATAAATCAATTCAAGCTAAAATGTAAGAGGCTATACCTGATCTCTTTGTATCAGAGATTTTCTTACCCAGGGTTGCAGGGGGGATAAAACCCCCCCTGCAACCCTGGTTTGCATTTGTATAGCTCACAGCATGTTCATTTACATGTTAAAGCCTCCCCTAGAATTCCATGGGGGGGAGGCATGGGGGGAACACTGCCTAAGAAATTCCACGTCAATTTCTGACAATTTACGGGAGTTTTCGGCGAAGCCTGCAAATTGCCGTATACTGCCGCTAACCTGAAGTTCCACGACAATCTACAGTGCCGTATATTGACGAAAATCCCACTTTTCATGCAGTGCTGCTAATCTGCCCTAGTGAGCCAACCTGAAGATTCCTATGTGGATTTAACCTGAAGACTTCTATGTGGAGTTTACCTGAAGGTTCCTATGTGGAATCAGTCTGAAGAATCCTATGTGGATATTCCCTGTTGTTCTCTGCAGTGAGCTGGAAGCTCAGATCTTGGTCTGCCATGCTAAGCCTGAAGCTAGACGCTTAGCTTCTCATGAACTCTGCTAACCAACAGTCTCCAGTCCCAGTCTGGACTTCAGTGAAACATTCTCAGAACTTGTTTATTCTCTCGTGTTCAAGACTTTAATAAACATTTGAACTTTTTCCCTGCCTCCTGCGTGTGTGTTCTGCATATATATACATATATATATATATACATATATATATATGTATATATATATACATATATATATATATATACATATATATATATATATATATATATATATCAACTGTTTTCTCACCCCTCATGGGGTGGTATCTGTCATCCTCAAGCTCGGGTCCTCTACCAGAGGCCTGGGAGTTTGAGGGTTTTGCAAAAAAAAAAAAAAGAGAAAAAAACTCCCAGGCCTCTGGTAGAGGACCCGAGCTTGAGGATATATATATATATATATATATATATATATATATATATATATATATATATATATATATATATATATATATATATATATACATTAGACTTGAAACTGGAGTTTAAAGTGCACTGAAATTAACCTTTCAGGTTTAGTTTATGAATTATACACTTATAGTCCACTGATAAGTTCATCTTTAAATGTTCCTGAAATAACCTAGTAATAGGCCACCTTTAATGCAGGCAAAGGAAAACATGAAAAATATTTTTCAGTATTTTATTTGAATCCACTCAACAATTCCACTAAAATTCCAACCCCATTTCTTATTTTGGCAATGCAAATTCAAAAACAGTCAATTAAACCACCAGTGGAGTGTAAAACTGTAGAAGTATCCTCTTGGTAGCAGCTTTCCTCTTGGTAGCAGCTCTCATTGTTTCATTTGATACTTCTGATACTTTACACACGATTGAAGGGTACAGTAAACAATACACAAACAACACATTGTTTTTCCTTTTCCCTACTTGCCACTTGACAATCATCTAACATCCTGCTCCAGATTAAGTAACTGATCATTATTTTAAAGAGCTATCTTTTTTGTTTTTTTGTCATTCATCCCATCTGTTCTCAAAGGTCTCCTAATCTTCAAATGGTGGCAACTTCTGGCTGATCAAGACTTAGCTATGCATTACTGTCACCAAATGACACGTAGTCTGGCATTTTCAGCCATTCAGATGTATCCTCCTTAAATGGTATGAACAACTTGCTAAATCTACTAGGCTTTTACATAAAGGTTTATAGATAGATCTACAGAATGATTTAATATAAGACACTTAAAAAAAGACCTGGCCTATTGTTTTTGTTACAACAATGTTTTGTTTAAACAAACAAAATGTTTATCCGTTGTTCCTTATCGTCAAATATATATGAAAGTAATTAAAATATTTGCTTTAACTGTAGTCCTACCACCACAAATCCACAAAAAATGTTTAGTGAATATCATCTATGCCCTCTTATCTATTGAACATCAATTTGTAAATCAATTTTCTGTAAACACCACCTCCCTGATCAAAAGGGCACAAAAGCGCATGTACTTCTTGCGGAGGATGAGGAGTGCCCCCCTGCCCCCAACCATCCTCACCACAATAAAGTATGTCTAAGCTGAAGTCTAAGCCTAACTTCAAAGGCACATGTATTATAGTAATGGTTAGGGTAAATTTCATATGTAATATTGTGTTAATAACATTGTATATTACCAATCAGGTTAACCTACACCATAATCCTCTTATACTATTCAAACTAAAGCTGACCTTTATGATTCAATGGAATGGGATAAAAATACCACAAAAAACTAGCATATGTGAAAGTGTACTATTAATGTGCTAAAAAAGTATATGGGTTCAAAGTTTAAATAAACTGTAAATTATACTTTCAATATACTTTCTAGTAAACGCAAAGTATAGGTACACTAACATAAGTTTTAAGTGTTTCACTAATAACAAAATTACAAGTTAACTGGAAGTATACTTTAATATGTTTTATTTTAAATCTAGTATACACTACTTTTGAGTCAGGGGTACATAGAAGTCAATCAGTGTTCTAAAAGCTAATATTCCAACTCATAGCGTTAGTGATGTCTTAAACTGTTAGGATTTCATATCCACAATAAAGTCTAAATTTTGTGATTCTAATCTAATTCAATTCTAATCAAACGTGGTTGTAGGATGAGGCATCTATCTTACTGAAAGTGCTGTGATGAATAAAAATATCTACCAATTTACATTTTGGGATCGGAAGGGGAGCACTTAAGATCAGGATCTTGAATTCTGTGCCACATGGTATACATGTCACCCGAGAGCATTCTGTGAACAACAAGCATTTCTTTATAGAAGCAAGGATTAAGATCATCAACATTTTTTCCTTTAACATTTAGTCCAAATGGTCTCACCCCAATATGATGCTCTGGACGTAGCCCTGCCTTAGCTAAGCACAATCCCATGTAAGCATCATCGATGGGAATAAGGGGGATGGAGTGTGACATGTTGTATATGATCAAAGCTGTGTAGCCAGACAGAAGGTAGCCACCACCACTACAGTAATCAGGGAATATGTTTGGCCTATAGAGCTCTTCTGGAACAAAATATCTACTCTGTGGATGGCGAATGGGATCCATATAGGGCATGACATTGCCAGCAAAAAGGTGCCTCCTTCCACCATTACGTTTAAAGTGTTGGAGATACACTACCATGTTGTCTGTGTTGGCAAAGACATCATCATCACCATTAAATAGAAACTGGGTGTTTGGGCAGTTTTTCTCGAACCACTCCAAAAACAGTGTCTGCTTTAACGTGAGGTTGGAAAACGTGTCTTTGAAATCCCACTGGAGAATGTCATTGTACTTCCTTTGCTCCAGCTGAAGAAGCTTGTTCAGTCTCTCCTTTTCATATCCGGTACCCATTGTTCCTGAGATAAAGATTCTTCGGATCCACACTCCATTAGACAATCTCTCCTCGGCCCAGGTCTTGCGCAACACCTCTCTCCTGTCATAGTTGACAGCAGGACTTTTAATGACCAGTAAAAGGAAAATATCAGATGATCCATAAGCTCCACCGCATTTGTTAGGGATGTCGAGTATCATTGGAAAATGCAGACAGTGGTGGTAATAGAGAATGTCTTTAGAAATTGGAGGAAATGAGTGGAAGTCCTTGACCTGTTCAGCCGATGTGTTTATTACACATTTTGGAAAACGGTCAACATGTGGGAAAGTTCTGCCTAAGGACTTTAATTGAATTTGATAGTTTCTGACATCAACTTGAAGAATGGTGGAGTCTGAGTCAGAGACATCTTCAGAAGAATAAGACAGAATCACCAAGACAATACTTAGCACCATCAAAGACGTTATTATAGAGACTCTCTGAAAGTGCCTTCTGGAAATCCTGTGAAAACAAAAGAAGACATTTTATTAAGGTTAGGGCAATGGAGGCTATTTATTAAGAATGTCTTACAGCAATTCTCCAAAAATGTCCATCCAAGTATTAGTTTATAATTATGTGAATATTTATATTGTATCACCTTTGTTATGCAGTTGTTCAATATATTTATTTATGCTTTTAGTTTTTTGTATGAAATAAATGCTATAAAGTTGAAAAAACCTTGGGAAAGGTTTTTATAATGGTATAATCATTTTAGTTAAAATAAAGCCCCCCTGCTTCACATGAGCTACATACTAACAAGTCAGATGATAGTCTTTCATTCCTACAACTATGGTATCGGACGTTTTAAGAAAAATAAAAAAATATTTTAACGTAATGGCACACTGCGGACTTTGTGACCTAAATAGTTGATGCATATGAGTTATTTGAAATTATTCCCTAGGCCAATATTCAGTTGTTGGCTATCAATCAATCTTGGCTCCCCTCTTGAAATAACACCTATGTAAGTGGGGAGAAGACACACCGTTGTTGGCCAGGTCATGTGACCTGGAAGGACGTATCGCTTTACGGCCACAGGCTCTTATATAGTAGTCAAAGAGCTAAGGCCTTTCCTATTTTTCCGCCTGTTCGACTATTGGTCATGGCTGAGACAAGGAAAACGTTCTGAGGAGTCAAAGGAGAGAAAATGTGAAAGAGATTGTGCGCGAGGAAAAACAAGAGTCAATCATGTTTGTTTGTTGCCGTAGGCTGAAAGAAGAAGCCAGATGTAAAACCCATTCTCTTTTCTCAACTTTATTCTAAGCCTGCTAAGCTACTGCTTTGCTCCTAGTATACAGTCGTATAGCTTTGTTATTATTTTTGATGACTAGTAGAAGCAAATTACGGGCAGTTACAGGTCTAGCGCCCCTAGTGTTCAAAAGTTACACAGTGTGCCTTTAAGTTAAAATAACCTAAACGGGTTCACTATCATTCCTCAACTAAAAAAGGGCAAGTAAGGATATCTTTATTTAAAGGAATTCCTTAATGTCAGTGAAACTTCATCATCAGGTAATCTTTATCAGGGCTCCATTTCACGAAGCAGGTTTAACAAACTCAGATTCAAATCCGTAACTCTAAATTTACCTAACCTAAAGTCGTGAACTCTGAGTTTTGGTGTCACAATGGCTGCTATGAATTAGTTATATCAACACTAAATAGGTCCACTCAGAGTTAAGTGCATGCGTAAAGGGCTGGTTATAATCCCACAGCAGTGTGTCGCAGTGACATGTCGCAGGTATGACGCAGATATTTTTGATTTTTTGCTCGATATTGAATCGTGGTCCACGCTATATTTATTCCACGCCACAACGCAAAAGGGGAAAATCGTGAATTAGCTGTGGGTCTAGATATGGCCGAGGCGGTGAGGAAATTGGAGCAAGTCTGTCTGACAACAGAGGGACATGGGGGCAAAAAAGAGCGGGGATCCAGATGGAAAAAGGGTCCCAGCGTTCTCGTGCACCTCTTCTTTTAGCTGGTCCAAATTCACGAGTCGTTTTCCGCAATCTCGGTCATACAAACAATCAGAGGTCTCCTGTCTGCAACGCCGTCTGGGGTCACCTACAATTTGGGAGAGGTGTAGCAGAGTGTCTGCGGAGGGGGCGGGGATGTCTCTGGGTTCACTGCCACACCTACACAGATGACCTAGTTTCAAAGTATAAATCAGCCTTTACAAGTATGAAAAGCCATTAGTAGTGGAGCACCGATTTGATAACTCTCCATGACGACAGCAACAGGAAGTGCCTATTTCACCTCACTGGAACTAGAGATTTACATGAAGAAATGGAAAAAAAAATAGAGAATTCTTTTAAAAGACAGAGAAACAGCACTACACCTGCATAGGATAGGAAGGTGCCGAAGGAAAAGATTGTTGCTCAAGATAATCCGTAAGTATATATGAAGTGGAAAGGCCATTTTAACTTTTATTAAAAGCATGCTACTCTCTGTTGTTCCATTTGTAGATCACAAAACTAAGATTCTTCCTGATCAAAATCACAAAAACACACTCCTAGTTGCTTATACTTCAGTTCACACTGAACTATATAAGTATATTTTGCCACAGAAACTGATTTTAAGTATAAAAAAGAACTAAATTTTACTAATAAGAATTAAATTTAATATACCTAGAAATTTATAAAATGTACCATTTGGACATTTATCAGTTTGACTGAATATGTTTTTAAAATATCAGAAATACATTTCTTCATAGTTAAAATAATACAAATGAAGACCAGTAAAAAATAGGAATATGGAGATCTGAAATTATTTCTCTACATCCGGAATGATTGTTCAAGATGTGAAGAGTGCCATTGTGTTTGAAATGGTCATTTGGCTAAGAGAAAATGTAGCTTTTTTTCAGATAGCTACCAGGAATACATTTTCAGTAAAACTATTTATTATCAAAATGGCTTGCCATAACCAGTTGTGACCACGATAACATTACGGATTTATTCCTTGAACAGTAGTGGATCAATGTATCTATCTAGGTGAAATCATCCGGCAGCCAGAGGCATAGCCAGAACATTTTCATAAAGGTGGCCAGGCAATAACTAATGTACGCTGAAGGGTGGCCAAAAGCGGATCGACACCAGAACCTTAGGGTCAATCTATACTGATCCAGCAGGAAAATGAACAACCACAACAAACATATTTTCCAAATAAAGAAGAACTATACCCTCCTACAGCCTTTGCTAACAACTGTACGCATATATTTAAACATCCATCTAGATAAAAGGTTTATTTGATTAAGTTCATTCAGGTTTGAGTTCTGGATCGAAAATCTTTTCCATTGTCATTACTTACCTACATTTATCAATAATGATTCTGCAAAAAATATATATTTACAAGCACTAATATCCACAAAAACTGTTTATTTACTATGTTTTTATTAGAATAGTTATTTATCTATGATGTAACTAAAAATCTAGTTCCGAAAAGAGCATGAATTCTGTAGTTATCTTTAATGTTAGTATATTGATGTGTATAATTAACAACCGTGTTTTTGTGGTCAAGTTATTGTTAATCTATGAACAATTAAAATGTTTTGAACATTGACAGTGTTACTGTAGTATCACTTGAGAGTATTACTGCAGCCACTGTCAGTATTATGAGGGAAAAGAACGGTAGGGGTGGCCACAAGGGTGGCCAATGGTTGGGTAGGGGTGGCCATGGCCACCTTTGGCCCCCCTGTAGCTCCGTCCCTGCCGGCAGCAGGTGAAAATGAAGTTTGAAAAGTTGTTCTAATACAGTCGATAGGCCCTGCTCATGATCTCATGGGGTTCCTCCCTAGTTTGATTCTGTCTTACATTACAAAGTAATTACTAAGAGGCAGAGGACAGATGTTGTGCCCAAACTGACTCTACTGTCAAAACCTGACCGTCTGCCAAAAACTGACCGTCTGCCAAAACCTGACCGTCTGCCAAAACCTGACCGTCTGCCAAAAAGCGATCGGCTGATATGAGGCGCGCCCTCGCGGAGAAGCAAACAGCGGGAGGAGGGGCTTGTTTACAGCAGTAGTGAGCACAGCCTGTCTGCTTTGTTTTAAGTGTCTTTCTTCTATATTTTGAAACAAAAGTTAAACGGTTATGTTTCTATGTCTTATTTACCCCCCTCTAAATTCCTATTCTCCCCATCAAAGGCTTCATTTACCATATTTGCCTCAAACATCTGCGAATTTTAAACGGACAAGAAAACGAAACTTTGATTCGATTTAAAACTATTCTTTAACGTTACTGCACTGTGATGGATGTAACTCAATCAATTATTTAAAATTAAACGTTTTATCAGATTTTGTTTTTCATTTATTATTTATTGTTCCAAAAAAAAAAAAAAAAAAAAAAAAAGTTAAAAACAACCCCCTGCACTTAGTTTCCAAGTTTGAAGACGTTTCGCCTTCCATCCAGGAAGCTTTTTCAATTCAAAAATGTATATATATATATATTTTTTTATTTTTAATAATGTAAGTAGGCCTATAGATAGTGCACAAAATGCCAAATTTAAATTTAAAGGAAGAATCCAGGTTTACTAATGTTGATTTGAACGTCCCATACTAAATAAATTCATTGAATAGAGAAAAATAGGAAATCTTAACTCGCCAAAGGGTGAAAAAATATTATAAAATCATGTCAAATGCTGCTGCTGTAAACAAGCTCCGCAAGCACCCGCATCCCGCTGCTCGTTGCTCCGATAACTTTTTGCCAGACGATCAGTTTTTCGCACGACACAGCTGCTACGGATGTTATCGTCCCAATAAATGCTCATTGTTAGGGGCTATCAGTCCCAGAGAATGTTTTCAGATTGTGCCAATAGGCCTCTGTAGGTTTTTATCACCCAGTGAATCCTAATCCTAATTTAGCCTAATTCCTTTCCCCCCGCGGAACCGATTATATGTGTAATCGGAAAACAATGTCAGTCCTTCGTGTAAAAATAAATTAATCAAAATAAAAGCATGTCGATTATATTAAAACAAACCAAAAACAAATATATCTAATTTCATGTAAACTGCTTTGTAGAATCCTCTCCCTAGACATATTAAAATTATTTGAGGGGGGAAAAATGATAAGATCCTCGTCAAACGGACATGCAATAGTGAATGTTTTTCTTTTCTTTTTTCTTTCTTTTTTTCATGCACAAAAGTACAAAAAACATCTGACATAATCAGGAAATAAAACCGCATGATTGGCTGTAAGTAGAGCGGAGACAGGAGTCTGTGACTCTACTGAAGAAAACCTGCTGGTGGCTATGTTGTTACCATGGTGACTGGAGCAGAGGTTGATGAAACTCTCTTTGTGAACCGGTAAAGTCAGTTTCTCTCATTTACCGTTTTCAATAAACCTGTTTCGTTAAACGAACCCCAGGAGTCTAACTCCAGTTTTTGAATGCTTTCCTATTGTTGAGAACACAAGAGAACCACAATACTCTGATATTTTTATTTATAGACAGATGCCTGCCTTTAGTACATTATTTATAAAGGGCTCAAAAACATTACTATATAAAAAATGACGGATACCGATGCCAACATCAAGATATCATGCATCTCTGGACACAACTTCACTTCTATCCATCCATGCATGGCTTCCTTTTAAGCTGCATCAGTGATTATTCTCCTTCACACGCAGCAAAATCTAATTTAGAAATTTTTCCCATATATCATTTACAGCCAAAGTCTATATATTGAACCTTAAATTTCAAAAATAATTTATACACTGTTTTTTTTATTATTTGTGCTTTAATTCTTGGAGGTGTATTATATTCTAATTTTAAGTGTGAGTCCTGCGCTCTCTCTGGATTGCTGCACAGATATTTCTGAGTCTTGTTGAACTACAAAAGACAAAAGGATATGTTGAATTTTATTATAGCATTGCATTTTTTTTTTTTGTAAACTTGGATATATATTTTATTGCATGTTACATATCCCAGTAAATCTGTTTCACCTTTATATCTGCAGCTGTCCTTAATTGTGTCTCTGCTCTGCTTAAAAACAGATTTATGAACCTGACTGTCTACCAATATAATGATGCCAGAGAAACTCATTTTCCAGATCTCTAGAAGCTCTGCAGTCTGATTCTCTGTTCAACAAGAAAACAACAGATATGTGTTCATTTTAATCCTTAACTCGGAGCAATGGCTCCTCCAGCTGTTTTAACTTATATAAATGTAAACTGCAGTGAATAGCGACTCTCAATAATATGTCCCAAAGCGACAGATCTGATTATGTTTCAAGAAGTGAGACTCAAGAGCAGCAGGAGAGCGAGGAAAAAACACGGACTAAAAACACAGACAGCTGGACCCAACCCCAGATACTGTTGGCTGAAGTAAATCAGCGGAAATGGGGGGGGGGGGGGGGGGGGGGGGGGGGGGTGGAATCGGAAATGATTGGTGGGGACTGTCCCCTCAATGCCAAAAGTTGGTGTGGACATGTCCACACCAGTCCTTCAGAAAGTTACACCGATGCAACAAACATACAGTCGATAAATAAGCTTTTAAAAATACATGCCTTTGTCTAAAAAGCAAGAGATTTTTAAAATGCACTATATATTTTGAAAAAACACTATAACATTTCAGCAGAAAACAATTATTTTATAGTCTCCAGGGATTTTTGCACTAGTGTTCAAAGATATTTTTTTATTTACATCTGACAAATACTAGATACTATTGATAAAGTTCCACCAATAAACCCAAAGTAAGCAGTTCTGAGTAAAACATCCTTCATAAACGTTATAGCTTTTATTCAAATTATTGCTCCAACTTAATAAAATAAAATATAATTGGGATTTCACTTTCAGTTTAATTTAAATCCAAAACTGTCTTAATCTTTTTAAATAAAGTCATTAAAAATTTTCAAACCAATAGTCATATATACATTTGAGAGAAAAAAAATCTTGATTAAATTTAAAAATCACTGCATTTAAGAAATCTGAGGTAATTACCTGAACATTTTATTAAGTGTGGGTTTCTCGGTGTTTTCTGTCAGCAAACAGGCAGTGCAGCTGCAGAGCAGATTATGACAAAACTGTGATGCTTGAGTTTAAAACCAAACTATTTTCTAGTTTTGGATGCCAAGATCTTGGCAGGTCTTGCAAGATAACTAAGGATAATGTTATGTTCAAGGTCCTACATGCAAATTTAAAACAAAAAGAATTCCTGGCAGTTTCCAGCTTAGTCACATCCTGCCCCTCCCATGGCAACCCAAGAAGACCAGTACTCCCACTGTTCCTTCCAACTAACAGCCTAATTACAGCTCCATAAATATAATAGAACAGCGCCAAATTACGCAGTTCTCAAAGTTATATAAGGTCTTAGGTGAACATTTTTTTAAATTAAAGGCTTGCTTAGCATAGGGTCCCCATTTAGACAATTCCGCCTGAAATCAGTAGATATGATCCACCATAATAACTTGTTGGATATTTCATAAATAATCTAAGAAAATGTAAACGTCACTGCTTCATTATTAATTATTTCCATTTTAAATGTATTCTGGTTTGAAGCTTCACAGTCAATTACTAAGCCCCTTTTCTAAAATCTTACGGATACTTACAGGAGTGAAACAATTTTTAATCGATGCAGTTCCCTAAAACTCCACTAGACGGCAGCAACGCTCCATGATCTGTTTAAAGTGTGACCTTTGGGGGCGTATAAAATGAAAAATAAATTCGTGATTCATTTAAAATCGATGGTTTGGTCTAAAATTCTTAAGATATACACGATATGAAAGAGTGCTTTCTATAAGCACTGTAATTTGTTTTAGATGTTTGAGACCAGATTTGTAAATATAGATAATTGTTAGATGTTACGGTGTTATAGGTGTACACATTCATATAAATTACTCAAAAACGCATAGATTTGTAGATAGCTTAAATCCATGTTTAGGCTCTATCAGATTCAGAATTGTGCCAGTTATTAATGGGATTGAACAATATTTGTGGAAAATACATTTCTCTATTTTTTTAACTTAAAAAAAAATAAAGTGTGTTACTTTAACTAATAGAAATGTGTGTAAGAAGTTCAACCCTTTCCAAGAAATCCATGCTGAAAATCTGAGCTCATTACACAAAAACATTGTTTTAGGTGAATTTTATTTATTTTATTTTTCTGATTGTGTTAACCAGATAAAGTAATTTTCACACTCATTTCAATCATTACCATATTAAATACTTTATTTTAATGGTATGAAGGTAAAAAGGAAGGTTTGTTAAAAATCTGATCAGCCGGTTTTGCATAGGTTTCTCAACATCACAGAGCCCCCCTAGTGATGGACAATCCTCAAATGTAGTACACAAGTGCTTATTTGAAATACGGGTTATAAAAGGCATGTTAAGATCTGTTATGATTTTACAATTATCACTAATTACATTCAAAGCGGGCTGCTCAGTGAGGCAGTGGGTAGCCTTGCTGCCAGCAAGAAGGTTCTGGGTTCGATTCCCGGCCCGGGGTCTTTCATGGAGTTTCCATGTTCTCCCAGAGCATGCGTGGGTTCTCTCCGCGTACTCAGGCTACCTCCGACAGTCCAAAAACATGACTGTTAGGTTAATTGACTTCTCTTAATTCTCCTTAGATGAGTGTGTGAATGGACTGGTGACCTGTCCAGGGTGTACTCCGCCTCTCACAGCTGGAGATAGAGACCAGCGACCCCTCATGACCCCACTTGGGATTAAGCATGTCAGAAAAAAAAAATGGATGGATACATTCAAAGCTAGTTAGCTAATTATCACTCATGCATTTTTGCATAACTAATCAAAAAGAAATATACGTAGTGATAATTTTTTTTCAGCTGTCTGTTACAAAGGTATATATGGAGTTTTGCATGGATTAAACAAAAATGTAATAGGAGTTTAACAAGTAATTATTGGCCGGAACCCATTGTTCTTTGTTATAGCGCCCCCAAGATCTTGAGGATCAGAATATTTCGATTAGTGTGAGTAGTGGTGCACATTTTGTACTTGGACACCTGATTCAGTTGATTCATTCCAAAATGCGATTTAGCAGAGAATAATAATAATAATGGAAAAACACAAGAAGAACATTAGGGTTCTCTGCTCACAGAGCATATGAAATACTATGCCTTGCATAGCCCGTACTTTCTGCTATTTAGCCATAGCCATACTTTCTGATATTATACAGTGCAGTTAGGGTCAGGGTATCTGGGGGAATTGGTTTTCCTTGATACACTACACTCTTTCATTCACCCAGCAACTTTGTTTGATGCTCTGCTGCAGTGAGATGACATGATTTTGAGGACAGAACAAAAGCCTTCTGTGTGTGAACAGATCTTTTCAGCTTGTTGTCACAGGGGGTACCTCTCTGTTTTGTATCTACAAAAACTGTGGAACTAGTGTCATGCTCTTTTAAACTTAATTTCATCCAATTAATGCATACTGTTTAACCTGGTAAGTCCCAAGGGTTTCAGAGGCAATTTCTATTTGAAAATACACAACTGAAATGCCATTTCACAGTGCAGGGGAAGAATGAAGAATAGCCATGAATATTGACTACGTTCATAGTTAAACAACAACACACACCTAAAAAAGACATGTGAATCAGTTGGAAAAAATCTGCCATGCAGCTTATCCTTGTCAGAGATTGGGGCTTTGGGTAGGTTTGTTGTTGATCCTTTTCAGACTTCCCACCTGAGAGCGCTTAAAAGGTGTGGCTGGGCGTGACCTATTAGCTGCAGGTAAGTATCCACACAGATATGGATCATTAGCCTCATCACCTGAGAGGTAGAGGAAGAGCAGATGCACTTGTCATTCATAACAACTGTAAAGGTGAGAATATACACAAAATAATCAGTGATGGGACTAACGGCGTTGAAAGTAACGGCGTTACTAACGCCGTTACCTTGTTTTAGTAACGAGTAATCTAACTAATTACTTTGACTGTAACTATAACGCAGTTACCATTGCAGACACCCCGTTACTGCGCGTTACTCAGGTCGCACAATGAACCTTTTTTCATGATAGGACTCGTGCGCAGCTGCGTGAAGCTGACACCCCACCCACGTCAAAAAACTCTGCAAATAGACTGAATGGTTAGTGCAACGTTAGTGCAGATTTGTGCAGAAAAAAATATTGTTTGTGCTACTTTTGTTTAAGAGATATTAAAGATGAGTTTTTAGGTCATCCAGAGGTGCGCGCCTTGTCATGAGAGAGGGGAGGATGAGAATGGCTGATGTATAGTGAGATTACGCCTGTCAGTTGGGTAGGTGGCAGTGGCGGCCGGCCCATAGGGGGCGCTGGGGCACCGCCCTCCCTGATAAGAAGAGAGAAACGTAAAATATATTTTTAGAAATTAACTCATAAATGTCAGTTTTACTCTCTAGACTGTGTACCTATAAGCAAAACAAATTATATAAACTACATTTCCCTATCTACTGTCATTAATTTGTGGATTTCCACAGACAGACTCCTACCGTCTCTGTTCTGGGGGCGCTGATCAGACTGACCCACATTTGCAGAGAATCTGTCAATCATGTACTATATGTACTATTGCTAGGTGAATTTAATGGCCAATCAGCGTCTCGGAACTTTATGGTATTGGGGCGCTGAAAAAACTGCGCTTTAACAGGCTTCTGCACCCAAGCGCAGGTGCAGACAATTAGAGGGAAGATGGCGAATGTAACGACCGAGATGCAGCTTCCACCAAATTCGGTGAGATCCTTATTTATCTACCCGTTTGCCAGAAGAATATCCCTGTTGTAGGATATGAACATTTCATGTCATGGTTATTGTGACTGTGACGAATCCACCTCGTCGCTTAAAACATCCTCTCTAACTTTGTGCGCCACACACACATTCCTGTTATACTGTGTTTGTGAGGACCAATACACTCGCGCTGAGACCAGTAGCTCCATGAACTTAAAACACACAAGCTGTTCCTGGTTACCTGCTGGCATATTGACCAGTTTGGTGTAATTGAATAAGTCAATGAATCTGTGTAAAAGAATTAAGTTGTAAAAATTATTTGTTTTTGTACATCAATTGTTTGTGGAGGTAATATATGGACAAAACTGATTAATGAGAAGAAATCAGAAATAAAAGAGCCTGAGGGTAGGGGCTTAAACTATTTAATGAGGGCTGTGGGAAGAAAAGCGGCAATTTTTGTTTTCTGTTTCTTTGTTACATTGCTGGTAACTGGAGGGAGGCTGAGGCCCAGAGTATCTTGTATGTTTAGTTTCTTTTGCATCCTGTTTTGAGTTTTTGAGCTCAATAAATCACCAACACCGGTAACCCGACTGAGACTGGATTCTTGGAGGCCAAAGAACCCCGTCACAGTGACCCAAATCATCACTGTTACTGTTATTATATAGTAAATTAAATCATTACTGTTAAATTGTATGTATTGTCCAATTGTTTATTTGAATTCTTATTCCGGATTAGTTGGAGACATACACTAGGCTATATCAGCCCCACCAAAAATATTTTTCACCAGCCGCCACTGGTAGGTGGGTGTTTCCGCTGGCGGGTGTTAACGTACAGCACACACAGAGAGATGGAGAGTGAGCAAGACTCCAGCAGCAAAACAGCGTTTTCCTGATGGAAATACCGGTGTTACGTCGAGCTGCGTTTCCCCATCAGATACGGTTTCCTCTGCATCCCCGCACAGCGCAGGCGGCACCAGTCACCGCGCAAGCGACAGGAAACGCGCATGCTTTCTAAAGGCGTGCAACAGTCACCCTGTGCTCGCGCCACAGGAGAACTATGGAGAGCGTGAACGATCAAATGATTAACCTGACAACAGCCAGAAATGATAGCCTATATGGAGAAAGGGAGAAATATGGATGGATGGATGGATGGATGGATGGATGGATGGATGGATGGATGGATGGATGGATGGATGGATGGATGGATGGATGGATGGATACTCTGCCTTTTCAACCTACTGTATTTTTTATTTTAAACATTATTTGATGGCCTTTGTGGCAGGGATGGAGATCCATATTTTATGTCACACGCAGAGTATACATCTAGATAGATAGATAGATAGATAGATGTTGCAGTATCTATAACAACCCAAACACACAGGATTTCAGAATTAGACATCCCCAGTTATTAATTTCACCAGATCTGA